CGCTTGCAAGCGTTCGCGACGCGCGTGAGGACCGGAGTAAGGAAGACTTCGGTCTCTTGCAGCGCTACGTTGGGGATACCATACGGGCCAGGGGCCTTAAAGGGCGGCAGTTTCTTGATTGAGGTACGGATTTCTTCTTCGACAACGTCGGGGCTGACAGCTTCTTGTATGTACTCAGCGTCCGCAATGTCCGAGAGGTCCGCCGGCGGTGGGTCGGGGAAGAACTGTGCCTTGAAGGCATCGCATTTCTCCTCGTTGGATCGCGCCGGTCCGTTGGGTGTAGCAAGGTCGGGGATGCGCGACGCAGTCGTATCGGATGACTGGTGGCTGGCGTACTTGTGAGCCTGCCACACCGTTCGCTCCGTCGCATCCTCCAACCATTCCTTCCAGTGTAACCTCTTCTGGCGCCGCAGTGCGCTGTGGTATGCGTTTCTTGCGGGTTTCACGGCGTCCCTCTCAGCTCGCGTGGCGTTTCTTTTCGCAGCGCGGTTCTTCAGCGTGTTCAGCTCTCGGAGCTGGAGCTTGAGCTCGCGCGTGAACCACCGCTTCGAGAAGGCGGATTTCTCCGCTAGCGGGACTGTGGTGCGTGTCGCGTACGCGTAGCCATCCAACAAGTCGCTCACCAGCTCGTCCAGTTCGGCCGCATCGGCGATGTGCAGCGACCGCTCGGCAATGCGCTCAGTGTCGCATGCCTCCTCCGCCGCTGCGAGAAACTCTTTCCAGTCAACTTCCCTCCATTTGTAGCGAGGAGGCGGGGTGGTGCGACCAAGGGCGAGGTTGATGGTAACATCGATACACCGATGGTCGGAACCGTACCCGCCGTGCACAGTGACTTTGGTGACGGTTTCAGCGAGCCTGGGAGTTGCGAAGACGAGGTCGATAGTGGTCCAGACTTTGTGTACGTCGGAATAGAATGTCGGTGTGCACGGTGGAAGGCACAGAACTAGATCGGACTCAGCGAGCATCTGAATCATCTCCGAGGTGTCCGAACAACGATTCCGCTTGTGACGGTGGGGCCCTGACCACAGAACATGGTGTTTGTTGAAGTCTCCGAATAAGAAGAAGTCGGTGTCGCCAACCTCGTCGGAATTTAAGTGGGCGCGCATGAAAATAATAGTGGAATCAGATTTGGGGGGATTGTAAACGGAATAAATACGAAAGGGGAGGGAGTCGGGAGGGGAGAAGTGTAGACCAGCTACGTCTAAGCTCTTGAGATATATTTGAGAGTACGAGTCGGAAGGTATGCTTTTGTTGATATAAATCGCGCTACGGATGAGGTGGCCCGGTCGTCGTAAGTAAGCCTTGGACGGCAGTATCAAATGCCAGTCCTTGTGCTGGAACGAGGCCTGAGTTGCAATAAAGTAGGGCAACTCCTGTACCGCAAGAACGTTGAAATGGGATGGACTGGTATCATTGAGTAGCGACATGAGAACCTCGGGCTGCTTGCGGCAGTTGAGGTCCCGGACCCGAATCTCATCTGGGAGGTCATCGTACATTACGCTCGCGCGCCCGAGCCGGCGCGGGAGGCAAAGTCCTGGTTAAAGTACGGTGACTGGTTACGGGAGAAAGTGGCCATTGCACGTGCCTTTACAGGGCACACAGCAGCGAACGACTTGTGTGTGCCGCCGCAGTTGGCGCAGAGCACCTTGATGTGCTTGCATATGCGGGCATTGGTGCAGCGAGGGGTCTCCGGGCAGTGGCAGTCACGCGTAGCGTGTGAGCCTGCGCATCGAGCGCACTTGACAGCGGTGGGGTCCTTTCCCTTTGGACACGCCTTGGCCATATGGCCGTGGCCTTGACAGTGGAAGCACATGGGAGGGCCGGGTTCGAATTTGGAGACAGGGCATGACGTCCCCATCAGAGCCAGTGAGCGATGGATAAGTGCATCTGCAGCTTTCTCGTCGTCGAGGACAATCACGAGGGAAGAGGCGGATTTCGACGCGTCCTTTTGTTCGTGTAGCCATCGCGTCTCCAGAACAGAAGACGGCGACGAGAGTGTGCCTGCGTTCTCGTAGTAGATGGCCGACCCCGCGCCCGCTGCCTTCGGGTCGAAGTTTATGGGTACGTAGTCGGCCTTGACGTAGTATTTCTTGCGGTGCAGTTCCGCGTTCGGCTCGAAGGAGGTGATCCAGTCGTTGCCGTGTAGCACCAGCAGCTTGGCTTGCTCCTCGTTATGAGCCATCACGAGGATGTTGCCGTTGGCAAGCTTGCGGACGCTGTGTACCTTGCCTTCTTGCACGCCCAGGTGCATGGCTTTCCCGAGCGCCGTCTCGATCTGAGTCTTGAGTTCCGCCGGTGAGCGTTGACGGTTCGGAGACTTTCGATCAGCCTTGGCCATCGAAATGGTAACAAGGAGCTCTTGGGGAGGAGCCGGGGGCCGAGGGCGTGACGCGGGAGGCTGAGGGGTGTGATGGTTGTCGTGTGGTGGGTGTGCGCATCCATCGCGCGTGGGGTCCGAGGGCTGGGGGACGTTCTTGATGCGCTCCGCGAGGAGTGCTAGCGCTTTCTGCGAAAAGGATTCAATAGCGGCGTTTTGCAGACGCTCACTTTCGTTGATCACGGGCGCCGTGCCACCCGCGCCACCCAATCCTTCCTGCCGAATTCTCGTCGCTAAACGGATCGCCTTATCCTTGTCGCCCTTCTTCAAGTTCTGTCCGGACTTCCAGGTGCCAATCATGGTGAGAAGTTCTTCGAGCGCTTCGGGAAACACATGTGCCACTCGTCCCGGCGGATCAGCAATCGAAGTCGATGACGACAGCGGGGAAGCTGAGGTCCTCTTCCGCGTCGCGGGTCGGGATGGGGCGAGTTCGTCGCCTGACATACGGGTACAGACGATATAACGTGTAATTTAAAGTGAGCCACTCGAAGTCTTTGTGGTGGTTTGAGATCAAGAGAGTTTTTCGAAGCATCGCTCGAGCCTGATACTTAGTCGACATATGCGGCGGAGGACAGGGAGGTCCGGAGTTCTCTGCTGGCTAAGTGTTGGCTGCAGTGGACGTGGGTGGCAGTGGGAGGGAAAGATGATGGTTGTGGGCGACCAACATTGGTCTTGTTTGTTCTGATGCGCACGGACCAGACGCGGCTTGCTTCGCTCGAAATGCTTCATCTGTACTTGCTGCTCCTAGCACCATTATCTTAGGGCATCTTTGGAGATGTCCTTTATAACTGCTAACCCGTGCCATTTTCATGCACGCGACGCATTGCTGGCGGTCGCACAGCTGCACGACTGCCCGCTCCGAGTCGAATGCGCAACATGCCATTCTATATTCTACTTAGTACTAACTGCACTGCAACTCGGTGCTATCGCGAGTCAGGATATGGATCAGAGCCGCCTGACATCTATGGAAACATGACTGGGTGGTCAATATGGTTGGATCAACGACTCCTATTGTTCAAACATCTACGAGCATATGCGCGAGACCTTTTCTCGATGTTTTTGCAATGGTCTGTGGGCATCGGGTACATATTGTCGGCGCACATTGTTGAAACATTGGATCAACATCTTTCTGATGTTCTGAACCACATTTCAGACATATTGAGACTCAACATGTGTGAAATGAAATGTTCGAATGGCGGTGTAGTAAGCAAAGGCGCGATATAACTATAGAGAAAACGCGTACCTCTCAAATGCTCGTGGAAGGAACAAGTGAGAGGTAAACGCGGCGTGGTCCCAACTATGTACAAACAGGCCGTGATGCGATCATCTCCGAGTCCGCTCCGATACTCTCCGCTACCTCTGCAGACGAACGAGTTAGGATGGAACCAACATCCCAGAGACTTATACCGTCGGGAGGAATCGAACCTCCGACTCCCCGCTTTCAACTTGGCCGAAATCAGGATTAATCTTGGCGGGCGGCCTCCATGGCCCACGACAGCTTGGAAAACTCCCTCCTGCATGCAATGAGCGTCTTTTATGGGTTGAGTTTGTAACCAACAAGAAAAGAAAAAGTGAAAGATTTTCTCGTGTATGCCATCGGGAGGATTCGAACCTCCGCTTCCCTCTGTGTAATTTTTCCGGATCGCAAAACTTGTGAGGGCGGGTTCCAGGCCCACGACGGCTTGCAAATTCTAACTGCCGGATGAAATAAGTTAGCATTTATTATCATGGCTCGTTGCTCAAAAGTAAGCGAGCGAAAGGGAAACAAAAAGTCACAGATTTCCTTGTCTATGCCATCGGGAGGAATCGAACCTCCGATTCCCGTATTCAACTTGGGTTTGCTAGAACAGAAATTTTGGCGAGCGGCCGTCGCGGCCTACGACGGCTTGGAAATCTGATGTGGTAGCTGGATTGCAACTCACCACCATCGAAGAGAAAATGCTTTTCTCGTGGTCTTGCATGCCATCGGAAGGAATCGAACCTCCGGCTCCCGCTTTCAACTTTGACCGAGACCTAGATTATTTCTGGCGGCCGCCATGGCCCACGACGGCTGGTAACACTCCTTTTTGTGTGGAACAAGCTTGCGAGTCAAACTCAACCTTGCCCACTGTCCTTGAATAACTACAACTCGGCAGGAATCGAACCCCTCCGGCACCCGCTTTCAACTCCCTGTGAACGTATTGACTGTAAAGCCTGCTCCTCAGACAGAGGAAGTTTGGATATAATTAGGCGTCCGACCAGCTGGATGAGCAAAAAAAGGCTAGGCTGAATATCCGAATGTCGCCGGGAGGAATCGAACCTGCTTCCATTGGTGCAGTCGACTCTATCCAGGTTTAGCAGGCGACCTCCATAGCCCATCAAGGCTTGAAAGTATTCCTTTTGCACTGAGATAAGCTTGCCTTTGCTTGATGAGTTTGTAAAGGAAAAGAAAAGAAAAAGTGAAGCGTTTCGAATGATGCCGTCGGGAGGAACAAATAAGCTTGCGTTTATCATGGTCCATTGCAGAAAAAGCAAGAGAGAGCACGCGGGAAATACCTGTTGCTGGAAGCACTATTCATCTTGTTGAAAAAAATAAGGGAGACGGCGAAAATAAACAAAAGTCAGTACATATCATTTTCAAGCATGCCGCCGGGAGGAATCGAACCTCCGGCTCCTGCTTTCAATATTTCTGTACCTCCGTAATAGGTTTGGCGGGCGGCCTCCAGGCCCACGACGGCTTGTGGTAAGTTAGCTGGATCAGGCTGCGACTGGGCACGGACGATTGAGGGAGAAAAAGAGGAACTTTGCCGGAAACCTATAATACGCCGTCGGGATGAATCGAACCTCCGCGGGAGGAATTGAACCTCCCGCCTTCAACTGCTCTGGTTGAATCAGACCAATTTTTGGTGGCGGCTTCCATAGCCCACAACGGCTTGTACCTACACCTGGTTTCAACCTTGGATCCTGTTGCTGAATGAGTGCGTACAAGAACACAAGTAAAAGAAAATCGATGTCTTCGATCCACGCCATCGGGAGGATTCGAACCTCCGCTTCCCTCTGTGTAATTTTGCCGGATCGCCAAACTTGTGGGAGCGGGCTCCATGGCCCACGGGGACTTGGAAATACACGTTGCTGGGCGCAATAACTTTGTCTCTCTGGCGGCTCTGTTGAAAATAAAGATTTGAAGATCACAGTCATGCCGCCGGGAGGAATCGAACCCCCTGCTTCCCGCTTTCAATTATTCAGGTATAACAGTTTTGGCGGTCGGCCTCCACGGCCCACTACAGCTTGTAAATACGATGGGGTAGCTGGATCAAGCGGCGACTTACGGCGGGCGAGTTGAGAGAAAAAAAAGGTGCCCTTTGGAATTTTTCCATGCCGTCGGGAGGAATCAAACCTCCGCTTCCCACAACACTTTTGACTGCTTTTGCTGATGTCCGATTTCAATTTCGGCGGGCGGCCCCCTCGGCCCACCACGGCTTGTTAACACTCCTTCGCAAGTAGGATAAGCTTGCGTTTGTTCGCCGATTGTCAGAGAAAAACGAAACAAAAATCTGGAGCTGGGTTCCATGCCGCCGGGAAGAATCGAACCTCCGCGGCCCGCTTTCAAGTCAATTAAGTTTCAGCAGGCGGCCTCCATGACCTACGGCGGCTTGAAACCCTGTTCTTCAGACGGCATAAGCTCTCGTTAAACAAATGCGAGCTGTTAGAGACAAGGAGTCAAGAGTCTGGAGGTAGGTATGCTGTCGGGAGGAATCGAACCTCCGTCTTCCGCTTTCAATATCCAGGTTGAACACAATTATCTTTGGCAGGCGGCCGCCATGGCCCACGACGACTTGTAAGTACCATGTGTTAGCTAGATGAAGCGGTGATATACCCCGGATGAGTGAAGAGAAAAACAACCCTTCATATCCAAGAATGCCATCGGGAGGAATCGAACCTCGGCTTCCCGCTTTCAACTGAGTGGGGGATGTGACTATGTCTAGCAGGTGGCCTCCACGGCCTACGACAGCTTGAAATTCCTGCGTGGTATTTGTATGAAGCGGCGCCTTACCGCGAAAAAAGTTTATTGGAAGTTCTCCATGCCATCGGGAGGAATCGAACCTCCGACTCCTGTTTTCAATTCTCCCTGGTTTTGCTTCAGGTTTGGCAGGCGGCCTCCATGGCCTACGACGGCTTGTATACCTTACACTCCGGCATGCAATTAGTGTGTCTTTGTTCGATGAGTCAAGGAAAAACCTAAGAACCAGAACGAGGTAGATATCTTGGCCATGCCGTCGGGAGGAATCGAACCTCCGCTTCACCCGCTTCAACTTTCCACACCCTCAGCTAAGGGTGACGGGCGGCCGTCACGGCCTACGATGACGTGTAACCGTGTCCTAGGAGATAGGATAATCTTGCCCTTTGCTGAATGAGTTGCTACATAAAGCAAACGGAAACAAAAAGCTCGTGCTGGATTTAATGTAAAAAGCTAGCTGTGGTAACAGTGGTAATACATGCCGTCGGGAGGATTCGAACCTCCGACTCCCGCTTTCAATTCTTTACGGCTTCAACTAACTTGTGGCAGGCGGCTTCCATGGCCTACGACGACTCAAAACTTATACCTGCTCGGTGGATAAGCTTGCCTTTATTGGCTCGTTGCTCAAAAGTAGGTGAGAGAAAAAGCTTTTCGTGTGGTATTGTATGCCGTCGGGAAGAGTCGAACCTCCACTTCCCGCTTTCAACTTTTCTATGACCAGATTATATCAATGTTGGCAGGCGGCCTCCATTGCCTACGACGGCTTGAAATCCTGTTCGTCAGACGGTATAAGCTTTGCGTTTGTTCGATGAGTTGTTAAAGAAAAAGGGACAAAAAGCTGAAAGGTTCGATGGACTATGCCGTGGGAGGATTCGAACCTCCGGCTCCCGCTTTCAAGCCGAAATGATGGTTAATGTTGGCGGGCGGCCTCCATGGCCTGCAACGGCTTGAAACTCCCACCTCCTACATGCAATGCGTGTACCTTTGTTCGCTGAGTGGTCGGAGAAAAAGGGACAAAAGTCAATGGTTCGCTGGTCATGCCGTCGGGAGGAATCGAACCTCCGACTCCCGCTTCACCTCAGATTGAACTTATCCAGTTTTGGCGGGTGGCCGCCATGGCCCACGATGGCTTGAAACCATATTCTCCAGATGGGACAAGGTTGCATTTGCTGGATGAGCTAGTAAATAAAAACGATGCATATAGACCGGTTATGCCGTCGGGAGGAATCGAACCCCCAGCTCCCGTTTTCAACTTTGACTCGCGACCGCAATAGGTTTGGCGGTCGGCCGCCACGGCCCACGACGGCTTGAAACCCTGTTCTTCAGACGGGATGAGCATGTCTCTGTTGTGGCTCTGTTGAAAAAAGAAAGTTTTGAAGATTGCATGCTGTCGGGAGGATTCGAACCTCCGTTTCCTGCTTTCAATTGTACGGGTTTGATTGACTTGCGGCAGGTGGCCTCCGTGGCCCACAACGGCTTGAAACTGTATATTTGAGCTGGGATAAGATTGCTTTTGTTCGCTGAGTTGTCAGAGAAAAGGAACAAAAAAAGTGAAGGTACAGTGGGTACTATGTCGTCGGGAGGAATCGAACCTCCACTTCCCGCTTTCAACGTTTCTGTACCTCCGCAACAGGTCCGGCAGGCGGCCCGCATGGCCCACGACGGCTTGGAATTGTCCCTTTGAACTGGGATAACGGGACGTCTATTATCAGCCGAAGTTGAACTTGCCCCTGTCCTCGAATAATCTTGGCCAAGTCCAAGTCCCGAAACAAAAGTATGTGCTTGCAAAGGAGAAGCACCCAAGGCCGCTCGACGCCTCTAAACATTAACTTGTTGCAGACGGCCTCCATGGCCCACGGCGGCTTGAAAATCAGTTCTTTCCAGACGAACAAAGCTTGCATTTGTTGGATGAGTCGGTAAACAAAAAGGGACAAAAGGCAAACAAGATAGCATATGCCGCCGGGAGGAATCGAACCTCTGGCTCCCGCTTTCAACTGTACGCAGATTCACAGAATATATCAATATATTCGGCAGACGGCCACCATGGCCCACGACGGCTTGCAATACCCGCTGCTAAGCATGCAATGAGCTTGTCTTTGTTCGATGAGTTTGTAAAGAAAGAGAAAAACGACACAAAAGGCTTAAGGTTGACTGGGTCATGCAGTCGGGAGGGATATAGCTATCATTCACTGGCTCGTCCTTCAAAGATAGGGGGGAGGGAAGCAAAAACGATGCATATAGTCAGGTAATGCCATCGGAAGGATTCGAACCTCCGACTCCCACTTCCAACTTCTGCTAGGATCCCGGTTAATTTTGGCAGGCGGCCTCCATGGGCCACGATGGCTTGAAACCATATTCTCCAGATGGGATAAGCTTGCCCTTGTTGAATGAGTTGGTAAAGCAAAAGGGACAAAAATCAAAGCGAGATGGTGCATGCCGTCGGGAGGAATCGAAGCCCCAGCTCCCGCTTTCAACTTTGACGGGGACCTGGATCAATTTCGGCGGGCGGCTTCCATAGCCTACGATGGCTTGCAGATTATACCTGCCAGGTGAAGTAAGCTTGTCTTTTATTGAACGGGTTTTTATGGGAAAAGGAACCAACAACGCAACACCATATCAGAGCATGCCGCCGGGAGGAATCGAACCTCCGACTCCCGCTTTCAACGTTTCTGTACCTCCGTAACAGGTTTGGCGGGCGACCTCCATGGCCCACGACGGCTTGTATCTACACCTTGCGTGATGGAGGAAGCTTATCTTTTGTTGAATGAGTTGGTAAAGCAAAAGGGACAAAAAGTGAAAGATGTTCTCGTCTATGCCGTCGGGAGGAATCGAATATCCCCGACTCCCACTTTTACACTTTCTTTTGGTACAAGTCAGTTTTGGCAGGCGGCTTCCATAGCCCACGACGGCTTTCAACCAGTCCTTTTCAAGTGGATAAGTTTGCATCTCCTGCGGCTCGTTGCTCCAGAGTAAGTGAAAGAAAGGGAAGCAAAAATGCGTACCTCAACATCTTAATGCCGTCGGGAGGAATCGAATCCCCTGCTCCCGTTTTCGGTTGTTTGAATATACGGGTTCGATTAACTTGTGGCAGGCGGCTGCCATGGCCCACGACGGCTTATATTCATACCTTTTTAGCCGGCATAAGCTAGCATTTGTCGCTGTTCATTGTTCAAGGGTAAGTAAATGAAAGAAAGTGAAGCAAAAACGGGACAATCCCGTTTTCAACTGATCATTGGTTCCGTTGTAATTTTTGCAGGCGGCCTCCGTGGCCCACGACGGCTTGCACCTACATATGTGGACTGAGGATTGTGCGTAAATGATGAACGTGTCTGACTCAGAGCGCGGTATCCGGGAAAAAGACTCCTCAAGACCTTGATAATGCCGTCGGGAGGATTCGAACCTCCGACTCCCACTTCCAACTTCTGCTAGGATCCCGGTTAATTTTGGCAGGCGGCCTCCATGGGCCACGATGGCTTGAAACCATATTCTCCAGATGGGATAAGCTTGCCCTTGTTGAATGAGTTGGTAAAGCAAAAGGGACAAAAATCAAAGCGAGATGGTGCATGTCGTCGGGAGGAATCGAACCCCCAGCTCCCGCTTTCAACTTTGACGGGGACCTGGATCAATTTCGGCGGGCGGCTTCCATAGCCTACGACGGCTTGCAGATTATACCTGCCAGGTGAAGTAAGCTTGTCTTTTATTGAACGGGTCTTTAAGGGAAAAGGAAGCAAAAACGCAGCACCATATCAGAGCATGCTGTCGGGAGGAATCGACTCCCCGGCTCCCGCTCTCAACTTTGAAAGGGACCTGGATCAGTTTTGGCGGGTGGCCGCCACGGCCTACGACGGCTTGAAACTATCCCTTGTGAGACGGGATTAACCTTGCCCTTGTTGCACGAGTGAGTAAAAGAAAAGAAAAAAGAAAAACACAGCAAGGAAGGGCAAAGCCGTCTGGAGGAATCGAACCTCCGGCTCCCGCTTTCAATTTTCAGACTGTCGGTTGCAACTATTTCTTGACGGGCGGCCTCCATGGCCTACGACGGCTTGGAATTGGAATCACTACCTGTGGGATGAAATAAGCTTACCGCTGTTGCATGAGTTAGTAAAGAACAGGAAACAGAAAAAAGAACCGCGATCAACCTTAGTTCGTCGGGAGGAATCGAACCTCCGACCTCCGCAACTTGTACACTTTACTGCAGCTGAAATTTTGGTAGGCGGCCGCCACGGCCCACGACAGCTTAGAGTCATTATTTTGCTCGCCTTTGTTGAAACTTGAATGAGTGAGTAAAGAACAAAAAGTAAAGCGTGGATAAGACTCTGGATAAATTTCAAGCCCAGCGTGGTCCCATTTCGGAACGTGCCAGGTTGTAGACTGCAGTACATCGGCCCAAATAAATAATGTACTGGACTACGCCAACATCCAATCACCCTCGACGAGCTCACCTTCAAAGAGGCGGTAGATCTCGGGCAACTAAACACCAGCTAGAAAGAATTACCGAACATAACGAACACGCCCACAGGCCAGACCATCGGCTCCTCCTTGAAGATCGCGAAAATCTTGGTCGTGGATGCCCGATGCCGTCGGGAGGAATCGAACCTCCGTCTCCCACTTTCAACTGTGCGCAGATTTGTAGACTGCATTTTTGGCGGGTGGCCTCCACGGCCTACGACAGCTTGAAATTCCTGCGTGGTATTTGTATGAAGCGGCGACTTACCGCGAAAAAAGTTTATTGGAAGTTCTCCATGCCATCGGGAGGAATCGAACCTCCGACTCCTGCTTTCAATTCTCCCTGGTTTTGCTTCAGGTTTGGCAGGCGGCCTCCATGGCCTACGACGGCTTGTATACCCTACACTCCGGCATGCAATTAGTGTGTCTTTGTCCGACGAGTCAAGGAAAAACCTAAGAACCAGAACGAGGCAGATATCTTGGCCATGCCGTCGGGAGGAATCGAACCTCCGCTTCACGCGCTTCAACTTTCCACACCCTCAGCTAAGGGTGACGGGCGGCCGTCACGGCCTACGACGACGTGTAACCGTGTCCTAGGAGATAGGATAATCTTGCCCTTTGCTGAATGAGTTGCTACATAAAGCAAACGGAAACAAAAAGCTCGTGCTGGATTTAATGTAAAAAGCTAGCTGTGGTAACACATGCCGTCGGGAGGAATCGAACCTCCGTTTCCTGCTTTCAACTGGCTGATACCCAGGTAATGTTGGCGGTACGGCCTCCATGGCCTACGACGGCTGGTATCTACACCTTGTTTCGACCTTGGACTCTGTTGCTGAATGAGTGCGTACAAGAATACGAGTAAAAAAAAAAAATGCTGTCTTCGACTCACGCCGTCGGGAGGATTCGAACCTCTGGCTCCCGCTTTCAACTTTGACTCGCGACCACCATACAATAGGTTTGGCGGGCGGCTTCCATGGCCTACGACGGCTTGTAAGTACCATGTGTTAGATAGATGAAGCGGCGACATACCCTGGATGAGTGAAGAGAAGAAAAAAACCCCCTTCATATCCAAGAATGCCATCGGGAGGAATCGAACCTCCACCTCCCGTTCAGTCATTCAGATGAACGAAGCAATATTGGCAGGCGGCCGCCATGGCCCACAACGGCTTGTAAATGCCCCTTTAGCTTAGGATAGCTAGCCTTTATCATGGCCTCTTGCTCAAAGGTAAGCGAGCAAAAGGGAAACAAAAAGTGAAAGATTTACTCGTGACGCCGTCGGGAGGCACTGTGGGTGTCAAAGCTAATGAATTCCACACCCCCGCGTATGTGAAATTCAGTCTCCGAATCGCTGAATTCCAGGTACTTTTTGTAACATTCCATGCACTTTATCATGAAATTCATGAATTAGGTGCGGATCGCAATCCCGAGACACAGTTTTCATGCACTTGGGTCACAGAGCCGAACGAGCAAAAAAATGTGACTCAAATCCTGGATGCCGTCGGGAGGTTTCGAACCTCCGCCTCCCTCTGTGTATCCGCTAGACCCACCCAAATTGTGAGGGCGGCCGACATGGCCCAGGACGGCTTGAATTTGTCCCTTTTGAGCTGCGACAAGCAGACATTTATTATCAGCTGAAATTGAACTTGCCACCATCCTTAAATAATTCACTCTCAACGTCGCCCAAACCAGCAAGCCAAATTGTGGATGAATCTCACCGAAGCAAGTCTTGGAACCCCTAGTATTTAAAAAAGAGCTGAAGAGAGAGAATTTATGCCGTCGGGAGGAATCGAACCTCCCCCTCCCGCTTACAGCTGCTTCTGGTTGCATCGGATCAGATGTTGCAGGCGGCCTCGATGGCCTACGACGGCTTGTAAATATAATGCGGCGACTGGATAAGCCTTTCCTTGTTCGATGAGTGAGTAAAAAGAAGGAAACAGAAAAAGAACAACAAGGAACGAGCATGCTGCCGGGAGGAATCGAACCTCCGACTTCCCGCTTCTACTGTTATCTGGCTGTGATTGAGTTTCGGCGGGCGGCTTCCGAGCCCACGACGGCTTGTATATTCTATGATGGATGGAAATAAGCTTGCGTTCACTGACATCTCGTTGAAGTGAGAGAGAGAAAGGGAAGCAAAAACGATGCATATAGTCAGGTAATGCCGTCAGGAGGAATCGAATCTCCGCTGCCTGCTTTCAAGTCTTCGCAGCATCGGAGAAGTTTTGGCGGGCGGCTTCCATGGCCCACGATGGCTTGAAACCATATTCTCCAGATGGGATAAGCTTGCCCTTGTTGAATGAGTTGGTAAAGCAAAAGGGACAAAAATCAAAGCGAGATGGTGCATGCCGTCGGGAGGAATCGAACCCCCAGCTCCCGCTTTCAACTTTGACGGGGACCTGGATCAATTTCGGCGGGCGGCTTCCATAGCCTACGATGGCTTGCAGATTATAACTGCCAGGTGAAGTAAGCTTGTCTTTTATTGAACGGGTTTTTAAGGGAAACGGAACCAACAACGCAACACCATATCAGAGCATGCCGCCGGGAGGAATCGAACCTCTACCTCCCGCTTTCAACTCTGGAGCAGGTGAGCGTAAGTTTTGGCGGCGGCCGCCACGGCCTACGACAGCTTAGAATCACTATCCTACTTGGATGAGCTCGCCTTTGTTGAAACTTGAATGAGTGAGTAAAGAACAAAAAATAAGGCGTGGAGGATGCCAGACGCCGTCGGGAGGAGTCGAATCGAACCTCCGGCTCCCGCTTTCAACCTCGCTCAAATCAAGACAATCTTGGCGGGCGGCTGCAATGGCCTACGACGGCTTCAGAATATTACTTGCCAGATGGGATAAGCTTGTCTCTTTTGCGGCTCTGCTCGAAAGAAAAAATTGACGCCAGGGAAATGCCGCCGGGAGGAATCGAACCTCCGCCTGCCTTAGACTCCATGCCTTCAAAAGTGTCTGGCGCAATGTGTGAGGGAGGCCTCCATGGCCCACGACGGCTTGCAATTATCCCTATTGAGACGGGATAAAGTCGCCTTTGCTCGATGACCGACTAAAGAAACAGGAACAAAAAGCTGAAAGGTTCGATGGTCATGCCGTCGGGAGGATTCGAACCTCCACCTCCCGCTTTCAAACATCGACCCCTTCTAAGATTGGCAGGCGGCTTCCATAGCCTACGACGGCTTGCAGATTATACCTGCCAGGTGAAGTAAGCTTGTCTTTTATTGAACGGATTTTTTTAAGGGAAAAGGAAGCAAAAACGCAACACCATATCAGAGCATGCCGCCGGGAGGAATCGAACTTCCACCTCCCGCCTTCAGATCGTCGGATGTAACTATAGGGTTTTGCATAAGTTCGTGAAAACGCGAAATTTTTGCGCGGAGTCACGTGGACAATCAAACCGCTCCGGAGCGCATTGAGGCAATTCTGAGAAGCTTTTATGTGTGGTATGGGAAGCCTGATGATCAAGTGCGGCTTGTAAGTGAGCGAAACAGCGAGAAAATGTTGGTTGATCCCACCCGGCAAATGCCGAGGCTGCGGCATCACTTCGGCACCTGGATTTCAACATGTTTTGCGGCTGTAAAAGGTCTTTTGAAGTGAACCCGTGCGACTCAGCACTGCATGGGCCGGCGTCCCATTCCTACTTGCACGTGACCCCTCGCAAAAATTTCCCATTTTCACGAACTTATGCAAAACCCTGTAAGTTTTGGCAGGCGGCCGCCACGGTCTACGACGGTTTGCAATTATCCCCTGTGAGCCGGGATACGCTTGCATCTCCTGCGGCTCGTTGCTCCAGAGTAAGTGAAAGAAAGGGAAGCAAAAATGCGTACCCCAACATCTTAATGCCGTCGGGAGGAATCGAACCCCCTGCTCCCGTTTTCGGTTGTTTGAATATACGGGTTCGATTAACTTGTGGCAGGCGGCCGCCATGGCCCACGACGGCTTATATTCATACCTTTTTAGCCGGCATAAGCTAGCATTTGTCGCTGTTCATTGTTCAAGGGTAATTAAATGAAAGAAAGTGAAGCAAAAACGGGACAATCCCGTTTTCAACTGATCATTGGTTCCGTTGTAATGTTTGCAGGCGGCCTCCGTGGCCCACGACGGCTTGCACCTACATATGTGGACTGAGGATTGTGCGTAAATGATGAACGTGTCTGACTCAGAGCGCGGTATCCGGGAAAAAAAAACTCCTCAAGACCTTGATAATGCCGTCGGGAGGAATCGAACCTCCGTCTCCCGCTTTCAACTCTCAATGACTTCGAATAAGTTTTGGCGGGCGGCCTCCGTGGCCTACGACGGCTTGCATACCCATTCTACGGACAGGGATAAGCTTGCCCTTGTTGGACCAGGGAGTGAAGGAAAAAAGCTGAATGATGAATCGGTATGCCGTCGGGAGGAGTCGAACCTCTGCTTCCCGCTTTCAATTTTCAGATGGTCGGCTACGACTAAGTTTTGGCGGGTGGCCTCCACGGCCCACGACGATTTGGAATTCCTGCGTGGTAGCTGTATATGAAGCGGCGACTTACCGCGGGCGAGTGGAGAAAAAAAAAGTTTATTGGAAGTTCTCCATGCCGCCGGGAGGAATCGAACCTCCGGCTCCCGCTTTGAATTTTTGGCGGCACCGAATAACAGTTCTGGCAGGCGGCCTCCATGGCCCACGACGGCTGGAATACATAGCTCGGGATTGAGATGTCTTGCGAACGGATTTGTATTTGGACCTCCATTTGCACCTGCACACAAAGGCAACGGTGATGGGAAGACCTGACAAGACGAGAAGAAGAACAAGAGACACCCGAACAAGATTTGGGCTCGGAATTGAACAAGAGACGAGAACGAGAGACACCCGAACAAGTGTTGGGGCTTGGGCTTGAGGGCGGAGATGGAAGCGGTAGTTTTGAGCCAACAAGAAAGATCAGAGAAGGGTTCCGAATGAAAAGCAAAGCTGTTTGTGGGCGCGCGCGATGTCGAGCACTGATTGTGATTTTGATAGATACCTTGAACAGATGCAATGGAAGCGTTGAAGATGTGAAAGACTCGCGGGATGCCAGTGAGCCGGCGCGCTACTCCGCCAAGATTTGGGGATTTGGGAGGTAGCAGCGTGCATGGAAGTTGTACTTTGCTGAATATCGAGTCCGCGGAGAAGCTGAAGCGCGGTAGGGGTGGATAATCAGGATGACGAGGTGAGCGCGTTAGTGTCGTGTCGGTGTGCGTCGGCATCGCGTCGAGAACCAAGAGCATCCATAGAATGGAACATATTCGGGACTGCAGCAGAGATACATACATACATAGAACGGGTTCTCGTCGTGGACTCCCAGCAGATTTTACAACCGCATCTTACCCATGTGCATGGTAACCGACACGATGCCCAGCCTGAGCGCGGCCAGACAACGCCTCGCACTCCCCGTCGAGCTTCGAAGCCCTTCGCCGTCACGTCGCCTCGCTCGCCTTCAATGATCATTATTCTCCGCAGCGCAGCGCGCTGTTGCCGTCCATCCTGGATCAAGCAATCGTGGTGCAGGCGTCAATCAGAGTCCCAGCAGGTTTTGCGCCAGCAACGCGAAGGGCCTTCGCGACATTGTTCCCCGTACCGTGAGGTCGTGACCGCGTCAGGATTACGCACCACGATTACGCACGCGGAATAAGGTTAGCGCGCACACGCCTGCGTTATGTTATATTTTCCCTGATTCCCTGGCACCAGAAATAGATAGATTAAGGTGAGGTGGGCCGATCAGCGGGTGGTTAAGGGCAAGGCTATGGGGAATCCCAGGGACGCGTGCACGTTTTGATGCCTCGCACCCGCAACCCCTTTTGGTAGCCAGCTCCTTTCGAGCGGTCACATCAACCTTCGAAAGGGGCTCGTCACAGAGTCGAATCGATCGTGACGAAAGGGGATTAGGAAGGGGAAGAGAGGCGAGTCGGTTCAGTTTGCGTTTGAAAAAAAAATTCGAGTCGATTGGATTTTTTTGGGAATGTGATTGCAGAGCTGTATTGAGTTTGGGTTGTAACTTATTGCGTACGCGGTCCCAGTCCCAAGCCAGTGTCACCGTGATCCATCACGGTGCGTTTGCGTTTGGGGTTTGGGGTCTGGATGGATGCAGTTGTGGGTGAGCAAGGGGATAACTCTTGCGTCGCCTTCCCCATCGACGCTGGAAGGAAGATGAGCCTGATGAGATGCGCATAAGGGGTCAAGGGATTCGGTAAGGGATGTCGATTGAGGTGTGGGTGCGATTTGGGTTGGTAAGCAGACGCGGAATAGGAAGCTGGAATTGGAAGCGGACACGGGCGATTGATTTCGCTAGACCTTTTTTTTGTGTTGTTGTTGTAAGTTGTGATGTCCAAGTGATGTCTGAGTGGGCTTGGTCCCTTACTTATAATATCATAATCCGACGCCATATATGCCCGCCCCTCCACTCTTTGAAGGCGACTTGTCTTGTCTTGTCTTCGACGACAACGACATACGATATACGAGACGCCGACGATATACGAGAGACGACTAGGACGACGATAGATGGCGACGCTGGACGCGCTCCCCCGCGAGCTCGCGCATTGGACCGCCGCCGTTTCTTCCGCCCCCGCTCCCTCTCATTCTTCGCATAACACTCATGCGCAACACGCACACTCGACGCAGCACGGACACCACGCGTCCGGCCCGATGCCCATGACGCCGCCGCATACCGACCGTCTCGCGCCGCATTGGATTGACTACCACTCGAACAACACCAACGCGCATGCTGGGACCAGCAACGGGGGGTACCAGGCACATGCACACGGACAGTATGCGGGTCATAGGGGACAGCTGCGTACGTGTTTTGTTCTCCTTTATTCTCGTTCCTTTGTTGGGCACGGAGGCGGGGCGTTTGACGCGCGGGGGT